TGTTGTTGTTGTTTTAACCATTTAAGAATTAGCCTTTGATAGTCCCCAGGTCTAACAATCAAGTCTGCCCTTGGGCGAAGGAGGCCTGGACTTTAAGGCTTCTTACCTGCCATACTCATAAGGCAACTACTGGAAGACACGAGATGTGGGCTGACGGACTTAGACAGCTAAACCTAAACCAAACCTACAGTAGCCACCAAGGCCATTCAGACCCATAATGGCTCTATAAAGGGTTTTCAAGACTGTCTTTACCAACACACACAGCCTCCTTGTTCTCCTGCCAGTCAGCTGGCGGGTTTGAACTGCTGGTCTTGTGGTTAGCAGCCCAACGCCTTTACCCACACCTACCAGAGCCCCTAGACACAGGCGGCAAGTGTAACACAAATGAGGCTGGAGACACGGGTATGGTCTCCTGCGCCCATCCCATTAGAGGCCACAGTTTTGCACACAGAAAAACACACACACACACATGCCAAAGTGAAGTGAGGCAGCAATTCCACTCATATGAATACAAGGGAGCTTCAAAACATTGCTAGAAAAATTCCATGATCTTTCCACCATTTTCCACAACTACAGCATCCTACCAAGAGTCTGCTTCACCTTTCCACATTCTCGGCCTTTGGCTCTGTGAGTCTGAAGCAGCCTCCGCTAGCATCAGACCCATGGACTTGAGAGGGGCTGGACTGGGCTGGGAGGCTGGCTTGACATTAAGTTACTTCTTGATATAAAATACCTTCTTATACATAAGTGCGTGTCACGGGTTTTGTTTCTCTAGTCAACCCAGCCTAACACAGGGGCATGTTCTATGTAAAACAAAAATCATCAAGCCGTACAGTTATACATTTTACTCGATGTAAATTAAGCCTTTCAAATGAATTACTAAAAAAGAAAAGGGCAAAGAAAAAAAAGTGAGGAGGGGGGGACTCCAAAAGAGGGTGGGGACAGAGATAAAGATCAGGGCAGGAGGATTTTTAAAGACTCTACCTTCATACTTACAGTAAATAAATTAGAACTAACCAAATCAAAGAGGAAGAGGAACAAACCCAAACAGCCACGGAGCCTAGCTGGGCACCTTTCTGGGTACCAATCAGACTCAGCCGAGAGAGCTGGGGACCCCTGGGACAGTCCGCTTAAGCAGGGGAATACAGGGGAATGGCTGGTTGCTTTCTCTTGAGAAACCAAGGCAATACAGGGGATTTTTAAGAGTGCATGGAAAAAGTGGACTTAAAAGATAATGGAATTTTCCTACAAACTTCTTGAAGTCCCTCTGATACAGAGTTTAAAGATGGATACTGAATCCCAACTTTTTGGCAGAGTGCATTAAGAAGGGACACTGATTAAGGCTCTGGTAAACAGATCAAGACCACGTTTAAGGTCAGCTCCCTGGCAATGGTATCATCGACAGAAACACAGCATCATTGCCTCAAATCAATTCTGTTGCATAGTGTCCCTACAAAGACACACAAATAATTGAGGGGATGCCACAAGCTTACTCAAGCCAATGTGGGACAAATTACTCTGGGGCTAAAAAGGACATATGTAAAACCACTTTCAAAACTGCAACCCGTTGCCAACAGGGCTATTATTACTTAAAGAAGTATTTGCTGCTTTTAGCGTGCACTACAGGGGTTGTCATTATTGTTGAACTCCACTGCACCCACCTACTGCATTTTCAATAATAGGCCTAAAACATTCCCAGTGGGTTAGGACTTGAAAATAGACTCCGTCATATGAAAGAAGACAAATTTCTTTTTTTGCCAGATGGGACTGCCACACGGAGTACCGCTCGAGTGTGCTACCACACCCGTTCTCTGTTCTGAGTGGGACGGGCACCTGCCAGGAGTGGCTGCCCCCACTGGAAGTGCTCATGCAGTGGGCATAATAGGTGACACCTAAAGAGGCCAGAGCAGGGGAATCAATCCCAGAGGAGTGGTCTCATTCCTTTGTCTGACAAAGAGGGCAGCACCACACTCGAGAGGTGGCCAGCCCATGTGCTGAGTGATTTCCAAGCACTGTGTCTCACTGACTTTCAGAATGGCCAAAGAGGTGGTTGGCCTCTCAAATGCAAACAGATGACACATATGAATTAGAGTGCTCTGAGTACTATTCCTAAAGAGGCTTTTACAAAATGGCTAGCATGCAGCAAAATCCCAAGGCAGAGGCCAGGGCTAGGAACAAGGGGGCTCTCAGAACTAAAGGGGGGAGGAGACAGAGTGGCGGAAAGTGGGCTTCATAGGCGCAGTGACCAGCACAAGGCAACCCACAGGCAGGGAGCCAGAGAGGTAATTCCCTGACTTCACTGTCCTCCCTCCCTCCGGCCGTGTCCAGCCAGGGCTCCCCTTGAGCCAAAGCCCCCGAGAAGGCAGAGCAGGTGAAAAAGGGGAAGAGCACAACTGTAGGGCAATAGGACCATATTATCCCCATTTTACAGGTGAGGAAGTCTTCTGTCTCCTGGCACTCAGTGAGCAGGGAAGACAGTTGGGGCCCCAGAGCCTATGTGAGCCTTTCTGCACTGCAGTCCCTCACACACACCCTCCCCTCCACAGGTCTGGAACGCTCCAGCCACTACATCTGTCTGGCAGCCGTAAAGGGCTGGGTAGATTTGTTTTGTAATATAAACAGCACCTCCCAACCCAGAAGTGTTCTCTGTATTTGTGGTTTGGGATGAGGGGGGCACAAAGCCAGGCAGGCTGGCAGGCACTGTCATCAAGTCAATTCCAACTCACAGGGACCCCATACGGCAGAATAGAACTGATCTACGGGTTTCCAAGTTCATAAATCTTCACAGGAGCAGAAAGCCTCATTATTTTCCTATCAAGCAGCTGGTGGGTTTGAACCACTGACCTTGTGGTTATCAGCCCAATGAATAACCCATTACAACACCATCTGGGCTCCTTACAAAGCCAGAAGGAGTGTTAACGGCTTTCCAAGCAGGGCCTTACTCACCTCAAAGCTGGAGCAGATGCTGTAGTCCCTTCTCTTTCCCAGAGCTCCCCTCCCTTTTGCCCACAGTCTTCCTTTCTCAGTCCTTCTTCCTTGGTGTCCACTCTTAGCTTTGTCCCTTTTATCTCAAAAAACCTCCTTCTACACCCTACTTTGGCTCAACTTCACAGATGATCTTTTCACAAAACAGGGTTTTTGTTCGAAAAGAGACATTACTGCCTGTGTACATATCAATAGCTGTCCCGTGAATGCTCTCCTACTCTTCAAACAGGAGTGTGCTGCCAAGATCCAGGGTCACTGGCTGCCCTTGAGGCAATGTTTGACTCATAGTGACCTTATGTGAGTAAGTAAAACTGCTCTATAAAGTTTTCTAGGCTGTAATCTCCACAGGTCTTTCCCTGTGCAGCTACTCAGTGGATTCAAACTGCCAACCTTGTATTTAGCAGCTGAAGGCTTAACAATTGTGCCACCAAGGCTCCTGGTTCAATGTTGTCCAAGAAAAGAAGAGTTTATACGCCTATAACTAGTTAGAGAAAGCAATGTGTAGCAACAGTATGGTACCAACAAAAAGCTCTCCCCAGCTGTAGGCAAGAAAGAGGAGGACCGAGGGAGGGAGGGACAGAGTGAAGGAGAGGAGAAATAAAAATATATTAGAAGGGTGGAGCTGAGGCAAAAGCCTGAAGAAAGACTATACTGTGCTCCAATTAGCTCTAGTCTAGGAGCTAAGTCTAGAATAGTTCCTAAGGGGCTACAAGTCTGGAGTGTAACAACGTTTTTCATCAATAAGCCCTCTTCATAAAATCCTCCTATTCAGCCCCCTGGGTTCCTTTAGGGAGCTGCCTGCCTCCCTGAGTGGCCAAATGGTAAGGCATCCCTTTACTAACAGAAAGGTTGCCCATTCAAAACCACCCAAATGTGCACCTGGAGATAGGCCTGGCAATCCACCTCACTGAAACCCTATGGACCAGTTCTGCCCTAGATACACAGGGCTGCCTAAGTTGGACAACACCAGGGGAGCTAGGAGTCCCTGCTTCTCTCTAAGAATGCAGCTCCTAATATGTTGAAGAAGCCACTTTTCCCTAGTGTCAGGTAGGAAGTTCATGGGACAAAGATTGTTTTAGACCAGCTTGGTATTTCCCATGGAGACCAGCCCAGAGCTGACCCCTTCTGACCCAACAGTGCAAATGGTTATTTATAAGCAGAGCAATGTCACATCTTACGGTCACATATTATTAACATGATTTTTCTATATTTTTATACTTAAAAACCCTAGATAAATTCTGCAAAGGGAAGACGTTTTTAAAACCTTACTTTACAAAAAGAACACACCAGATTCAAGTCAATGTTTCATGACCATAAAGAGGGAAAGGAAATTAACATTATTCCCATCAACTATGAATGCAATATGAACCCAAATGATGGAAACATATCATAATTTGAATTCTGAAGTTAGTTGGATTGCTATTTGAGTGGTCAAAACTGCATCCCATTTCATTTTGCATGGAACAGTAAAGGGCAAAATTCGGTTAAGGTATAAAGCAAATAAACAAATAAGATCATTTAACCAGCCTTGCCTTTTTCTAGAGTTCTGCTGGTGGAGTGCTTATGAGTTCAGCTGTGATCCACAAGATCACAGTTTCAAATCACCAGCCATTCCTTGGGAGAAAGATAGGACTTTCTACTCCCATAAAGAGGTATAGTCTTGGAAACTCACAGGGGGACACTTCTACCCTGACCTATAATGTTACTGAAAGTCGGCATAGACTCGATGGCAGTGAATTTGGTTTGGGTTTTTGCATTTTTTTCTGGCACTTTTTTGAAGTAATGAAGTCTGGAAAGATAACATTCTGGGCCTTAAAAAGTCAATTTCCAAAATAGGCATGCCCAGGTCGCAAGGACAAAGCTATTTATATGCTCTTGTTGATATCACACAGGTAGTCAAGCTGTCCATGTATCCCCCCATGAGAGGCCTTTGAAATCCATCCTCCAGTGACCCATGACCTTTAGACAGCAGATCCCACACAGGACACAGGAAAAGGGTTTCGCTTTGTACTCACTCTTACAAAGTTGTCAGGGAACAAACCTCTCCTGCCATTGATCTGTCCCTCCCACCAGCCTCCATCCTCCTTCCTGATGTTGGTGATGATCTCACCCACGCTGATCGTCAGCTCATCGTCGTGCTGGGCCTGGTAGTCAAACTCCACTATGGCCTCCACTGAAAACAGAAGAAAAAGAGCAACTTACACTTGGGTGATGGAGCAGGTTGAAATCCAGCATCTATGAAGGCCAATGAGGTCATAGTAAGGGGACTTCCCTCTATGAACGCTCAAAATAACAGGACCACACACAGCAACCCAATTTTGGTTAACCTGGGGCCTGCAGCACAGAAACCACCAAGGACTGTTCGTGGTCAAGCCCAGGAGGGGTAGCCTACAGGTCTCAGGGTCAACAGGGGGTTCTCAGAGGGAAAACCACGTGACACCAGACAGCTACCAATGTTTGCCTCACCCACAGGAAGCCCAGCATCATCCTCCCAAGTAACAGCCCTGAGTTTGGCTCTTGGGTCCCACTTGCCAATAACCAACAAGTATGATGCTAACGTTTCTGGGCCCCGGTTCTGCAGAATGTGGATAATACCCATTCCAATCCCACAGAGATCACGCTTGTATTGCAAGGACAGCAAGTGTAAAGGCAGCTTGTACAGTGGGCTTAGCTGGCCGAACCAATGTCTCAGACCTCCAGAACCATAATGGCCCTCTAACTAGATAACTTCTTAGGCAGCTATACCATTTCCCCTTACTTTCCCAATCTGTGCCACTTTGTAACAATTGCTAAGAGGTTCCACACCATGTGAGGAGGGCAACTCTTCTTGTTTCCGGAGTGCCTGGGCAACGTATCCATGGATAGATTACTCAGTGTATCTACACTTGGCCCTCTCCATTTGCCCACCTCGATATAAACAAATCTCTCCATCTCCCTTTTTATTTGAAGCTATGAAGAAATGAATGAATGATGAGAGAACGTATACAAAGGTGGAGAAAATTAGATAAAATCCCATATGGTGAATTAGCAACTTAGAGGTTGTGGTACAGAATGGAAGAGGAGAGGTGGAAGCTGTCTGTAAAATAAGGTTTGTGTTTGGATTGAATCAAAACATATTGAAGTAAGTACCATATACTGGGCTGGTTCTATGGGTGCAAAACAGAAAGCAATTCAGTCTTCGCACAGGAAGTACCTGTAGTAACCCTCAGAAGACAGGCAGACCGATGCACACCTCTATAGCAGTGCGGCAGCATTGGAGGAATTCCCAGAGGTATCTGCCAAGCACTGGGGGGACCGCAGGTGAATGTACAATTAGCAGGAGCTCCACAAAGAATGCATATAAAAATGAACTCAACATGTATCATAGACCTACATGTAAAGCAAAAAGTGTAAAACCTCGAAGAAAGCGTAGGAGAAAATCCGAGTGACCTGTGCTTTGGCAATGATTTCTTAAACAGAGACAAAACCCACTAATCATTTTCTTTTTGAAAATTTATATAAAACCAAACTCGGAGTAAATTGGGATAGGTTTCCCGGAAAAGGCTCCCAGTCAAATGGGCTTTCCGCATCCCATTGTGGATAAATTCCCAAAGGGTTTCCAGTTCAAAAGGTCCCACCTGCCCAGGAAGGTGGACTTCCCCTTCTCTCAGGGTCTCACCCACCCAGGGAGTTTATAAGCAACTCAGATCAGGATTTCTTTGTCATTCCAAAATTAGCTAGCTGACTCCAGTGTCAAGAAACTAGTAGAAACGAAGTGGCATTGTGAACATTCTCTTTACTTACAAGCAGAAAGCAGGCAAGTAGGACTTGTTTATACAAGACACACCTGTCAGACTTCTGGTTCCTGACAAGTCTAATGGGCAGAAATGGTGCCCATGTTGTTACAATACTCTATGTCTCAGCAGTTGAAGCGAGTCATCAGTACAATCAGAAGCAGGGTGATTGAAAATCAGCTTTCTTCAAATGACCTAGCCATTGATCTACTGAGGTTACAATGACCCTGGTTTATGTGTCAGACAGTTTTCCCATTTTCTCTCATTTAATCTTCACAATATCATGAAGCCCATTTTCCCAATTATACAAATGGATGCTCGGCAAAGAAGTGAAATTTATGTTCTGAGCTGGTGCCTCCAAAGTGGGGAGTACTCACTGCGGGGATCGTTGCTACTTCATAACTGTCATTTTACTTCTGCTATAAATCGGGTGAACCCTATGAAAGAGTCGTTCGACCCCCAAGGTGTCACGACCCATAAGTTGAGAACCTCTGGGATGGGGCATCGATAATCAGAACATTTTTTAAATTATTATTTTAAAGAGAGAACACTTCAGTGTTCCTATGATTCTAATCATCTCCTATGCATGGGAAAGCTAGACGATGAATAAAAAAACACGCAGCAGAATGGATGCATATGATCTCTGGGATATACAGGGAAGCGGGCTTGATCCGGCGCCTGAGCACACGAGCCAGCATCCAGTTCAAAATCGCTGAGACACAGAGGAGTGCAATGCTACCACGAGACCTCCATCCCCAAGCTTCCCTATCTTGGACTTCTTCTGGCACATCTGCCCCCCCTCCCCTTTTTTGGTAGTGAGCTAGGACAATAAGAATGTTCTCCAAATTATGGGAGAAAACCAGAGAAGATTTAGGCTGAGGCTCCTGGAAAAGGTAAAGTAAGACCTTGGTAAATCCCCTTTGAATTAGGAACAATTTCAAACACACACAACGTCCCATATAGTCCTATGAAGAATGGATGATAAATGATGGTAGGCAGTCCAGACCTCTAGCAACCCATGATCTCTACCAGTCCTTGCTGTGATACTATTACAGGTTACAGCATCCTTTCATTTGTCTGTGAATAATTCAAAACATATCCCTTGAAGATAAGATAATCCCAGCTCTTACCACCCTCAGAAAAAACCTGAGCAAAAATTCCTTTAATGACCTTGAACTATTTATAGGCTTTTCCATTTTTGTCAGTGGCTTTGTTATTGTTATTTTATTCTTGCTTTCTAATGTTGTCATTATTGTTTTGTTGGTTTTGACTTCCTTTGTTGTTTTATTTGGCATTGCCTGGTTTTTGCACTTATTAATGTATCTGCATGTCTATCTAGATAAGATAGGCAGGATAAATAATCCAGAGATGAAAAAAACAGAACCAATGGTTCCGGGGGGGATACAGGAGAAGGGGAGGTGGAAGAAAGAAAGGGGTGACCAACCCAGGGACAAGGGAATAACGAGTGAACTAAAATCAATGGAAGGAAGGTCGTAGGATGCCTAGTAGGGCTCAATCAATGGCAATGTAGCAGCAAGGAATTACAAAACCCGAATGAAGGCCAAACATCATGGTGGAACAAGAGGAAAGTAAAAAGGAACTAGAGGAAAGAACCAAGAGGCAAAAGACATTTATAGAGGATTGTACATATGTAAATATATATATATATATATATATACACATGTAATGAGAGGGGAATAGAACTATGTACTCATAGCTATATGTTAAGAATTAAGGTTGCAGATGGACATTCAGCTTCAATTCAAGTACTCCTTTTACACAAAAACACTAACAATCCGGCATTCTTTCTTTTTTTAATCATTTTATTAGGGGCTCATACAACTCTCATCACAATGCATACATACATCAATTGTGTAAAGCACATTAGTAGATTCATTGCCCTCAGCATTCTCAAAACATTTGCTCTCCACCTAAGCCCCTGGCATCACCTCCTCATTTTTTCCCCTATCTCCCCATTCTTCCCTCCCTCATGAACCCTTAATAATTTATAAATTATTATTTTGTCATATCTTGCACTGTTCGACGTCTCCCTTCACCCACTTTTCTGTTGTCCGTCCCCCAGGGAGGAGGTCACATATAGTTCCTTGTAATCAGTTCCCCCTTGCCAACCCACGCTCCTGCCACCCTCCCAGTATCACCACTCACACCACTGGTCCTGAAGGGGTCATCCGCCCTCGTTTCCCTGTGTCTCCAGTTACTATCTGTACCAGTGTACAGCCTCTGGTCTAGCCAGATTTGTAAGGTAGAATTGGAATCATAATAGTGGTGGGAGGCGGGGAGGAAGCATTTAGGAACTAGAGGAAAGCTGTATGTTTCATCATTGCTACATCACACCCTGACTGGCTCTTCTCCTCCCCAAGACCCTTCTGTAAGGAGATGTCTAGTGGCCTACAAATGGGCTTTAGGTCTCCACTCCACACTCCCTGCCTCATTCACAATGATATGATTTTTTTTTCTGATGAGACCTGATATCTGATTCCTTCGACACCTCGTGATCGCACAGGCTGGTGTGCTTCTTCCATGTGGGCTTTGTTGCTTCT